TGTTTGCTGCGTCGATTTGATCAGGGTTGCGGGCGTTGTCAGCTCAGTTACCCTACCTATGAGTTTTCGACCAGCTATATCGACTAATAGCTTATAATGCTCTAAAAAATCTGCTCCGATAATCGGTTGTGTTACATCGGCGATGACAAAGTTCCATACAAAGTTTCTTCGTAGCCCGAAGTTTAAAGAGAGTGTTTTTTCACCATATGTCTTAATTTTTGTACCATTGGCGGCATAAAGTATACATTGTTCATCTTGTATTAGTGAATGTCTCTGTGGCTTGCTAATAACTGAAATATTTGCTCCCGTGTCAATCAAAAATCTCATACCACTTTTTCGGTCGGTAATAGTGAGGCGGTTGGACGGGTGAATAGCACAGAGTTCCGCCGTTGTCCGTGCTTCAATTAGTTTCCCTGTTTCCTTGAGTTGAGATCCTGTTTCCAATCACAAGGTTGAACACACTTTTGTGCATATTTTTTAAATCTTCCATGGTAAAAACAAAAGTGCCTTCTTTCTCTTGAACTTGACTGTGGTAGGAAATGCCGACGATTGGAATAACTTTGAGTGCTGCGTCGATAGTTTTTTTGACCTTGCTGAATTGCATTTAGTTCCAATTGCATTTCTGCTAACTGTGCTAGTATGCATGACATTGTATCGTCGCCAGATTTGTTTCCGTTTACAGCTGACACCTCTGTACGTGTTGAATTTATTAATATCTTGTCCGCGATCTGGCTCATCTTGTTCACATCTATGTCTTCTGTGACTGCTAGAACCGAAGTCACTGATGGTGGCAGAAGCCTCAACCATAGAAGTTTGATGGTTTCGTCGCTGATATTTCCGTTACTCAGGGTCCGCATCTTGCGCAGAAGATGTGATGGTTTCTGGTCGCCGAGATCCATTTCAGACAATAATTTTTGGAGCTGACGTTGGTCTGATTCCTCATAGCAACTGATTAGGCGTTCTTTGATAGCCTTGTACTTTTCTATTGGCGGTGGGCAAGTAATGAGGTCACTAACCTGTATTATTTCTTCTTTTGGCAGTTTTGCAATGACCGTATAGTACTTGTAATCGTCTCCTTGCTTCTGTGGTGCTACTATGGCTTCTAGTTGCTTAAACCATAATCTGGGTTGGTCCCTCCAAAATTCCGGCTGATATCTCCAAGGCTTCTTGTTGGCTGCTGCTTGATTTGCAGGGTGAATGAGTCATGTTGATTGTTCTTCGTCGGGTCACCAATTTGCCAGACTTCGTGGCAAGGTAAATAATGAGACTGTAGGTGGTTAAGGTCTGTTTATTACTTTAATTGCTGGTGCTTATATACTAAGAAGATGCGTGAGATTTTCAGATTTAGCTATCCTAACAAACGTGCAACAATTAACATGTATGTCTTATCTCTATCGTATCTAAGTAATGTAGCGACGTGATAGTGCCGCTACATCTATATCGATGACGTCTTGATACTGAGTAGGACCATAGAGCAGGGACTAGTTCTATTGCGTAGGGTACTTACTACTTTGACTGACGCGGGCTTTTCAATCAATTTAAAGAAGTGCTCTTTTCTTTCACCCTCGATTGAGTATTTGGGTCGTAATATTAGTGAGGGCCAGGTACGGCCGAGCACGGAGAAAGTAAGAGCATTAACGAATACAGGCGAACCTAAAAATATCAAGCAGGTCCGTCAGTTCATGGGTCTTGCTGGCTATTTTCGGCGTTATATACCTGACTTCGCGCGAAAAACAGCCTGTATAGCGGCTTTAACACGTAAGGGTGTAGAATTTAAATGGGGACCCGAGCAGCAAGCAGCTCGCAAAGAAATTATCGAATGCTTGACCAGTGAGCCCGTACTTGCGGTATATGACCCTTCGTTGCCGATTGAGGTTCACACAGACGCAAGCTCTGTCGGTTACGGGGCCGTGCTTCTGCAGGTGCATCAGGGCGCTTATAAGCGAGTGGTTGCTTACTATAGTAAGCTAACACAGGGAGCTGAAAGTAAGTACCACTCGTACGAACTTGAGACCCTTGCGGTAGTCAAAGCCTTACAACATTTCAGGCACTACCTTGTGGGTGTACGCTTCACTGTAGTCACTGACTGCAATGCGTTGAAACTTACGCAGCGCAAAAAGGATTTGCTTCCTAGAGTGGCTCGGTGGTGGGTATACCTGCAGGACTTTGATTTTAACTTGGACTATCGAAAGGGCTCACTTATGTCACATGCTGACTACCTTAGTCGGAATCCGGTCAATGTGTGCACGGTTCAGAAGCCACTAAACTGGGCGCAGGTTGCTCAGGCTTCTGATGAGGAGACTCGAACCCTTATTCAACGACTGAATGATGGTCAGATAGACGCAAGTCGATACATCGTTAAAAACGACACCCTCTACGTTAGGTATGCACCTACTGGTGAATCCACTCGACTCTTGTGTTATATTCCAAAGGGGCACAGGCTTAGTCTACTTCGCGTGTTTCACGATGAGCACGAACATCCTGGGTCAGAAAAGACGTTTGATTTAATTACGAAACATTTTTGGTTCCCTGGTTTGAGAAGTGTTGTCCAAAAATATGTAGCACACTGTTTAGTGTGCATCTCTCATAAAAAAGCTCCTCGAGCCCCGTTACAACCTATTCATTCCTGGGAAAAACCAGAAGTGCCCTTTGAAACTGTCCATATGGATGCTCTAGGACCACTCCCCGAGGCGGATGGCTATCGATACGTTCTCATAGTCATTGACGCCTTCTCTAAGTTCGCTTTACTATATCCGATGTATCGGCAAGATTCCAATGAATTGAAGCGCAATGTTACCAATGTTTTTTCGCTCTTCGGAGCCCCTAAGATGATTGTCGCCGACAGAGGTCGTATGTTCCAAAGTACCGAATTTCTTGACTGGGTTAGGGATATGGGTTGTGAAGTTCATTTAATTACACCCGAGATGCACCAATCCAACGGCCAGGCTGAACGTTACTGCAGGACGGTGTTAAATATGATTCGCATTGAAGCAAATCATCGGCAGCAGAAATGGCCTAGCGTTATCTGGAAGATTCAACTCGTATTGAACATCACGCGGCACAGAACAACGCAGTACTCTGCCCTGAACCTGCTTGTTGGCATAGAAGCGGCGACGCCTCTCATCCGAAGTTTGGTGCGCGACGTGGCGCTAGAAGGCTCCAGTCCAAACCGGGAGGCTTTACGTGAAATGGGCCGTCAAAGAGCATCGGAACGGCTCAAGCAAAACCAGCAAAGCCAGGATGATTATGTAAACCAAGGCAGACAGGCGCCCCGTGGTTTCGAAATTAATTCCTTAGTTTTTGTTAAAAAGCAGGCGCAATCAACGGGGAAGCTGGACTCCGGTATACGAGGCCCGTACCGCGTGATGAAGATTCTCCCGCATGGGCGCTATGAGCTGCAACTCCTGGCCGGCTCCTATGGGAAGTCGACGCAAGCGGCAGCGGAGTTTATGATCCCTTGGCGTGGAGAGTGGACACCTGAAGTATGTGCTGCTTACTTCGATGGTGAGTTGCTTGGCTACCCCAAGGCAGGTTGCAAACTGTCCTTGGGTATGTCGTCAGAAATAGCTAACGTAGTGCTTCCTTTCTGTGTATACAATTGTTGGGAGAAAGCTAACGCCGCGCTTCCTTTCCTAACAATTGTGGGGCGAACATGCAAACGTCGGGCCTCTGTCTCGCCGGGCTAAGTTATGCTAACGTCGTGCCTATGCCTTACGCCCTGATTAAGTTATGCTAACGTAGCGCCTATGGCTTAATCTATGCTTGTGACGCTTCGCATCTTGTTTATATGATGGACGCGGCATATTTATGAGATGTTAAGTTTCGCACTTTAAATTGCTGTTAATGTGTGTACGTAAGCTAATAGTTGTTTTCGTGCATAGGTGCAGACACAGAAGATGAAGATCCTGGTGCCACTCAGCCTGACAAAGCAGTCGAGCTTGGTCGTGGATTACCGCCACCTGCTCTAGCTGCGAGGCTGCCTGTCGACGATGGGCAACAACCATCTACGTCCGGGATTCAGAGGCATACAAGTGCTTCAGCCACACCTGCCGCTGAGGTGTACCAAGAGCAGGAGCCTGCCGCAGAGTCTGGGCCAGGGCTATCCATGCCCCTACTGGACTAATCCAGCATGAAGAAGAAGGAGCCCGAGGACGGTCTCCTGTCAGGAGAGGCCGTGTAGGAGATCAAGGAACTACCAGCTGAATGTTGCTTTATAAGCCAGCTCGCACCGCCGCTCGGGTTCACTTGCCTGTCAGCCGTCATCGCGATCGGAGCTCTCGGTGTTTTCGTTTTCTTTGTTACACTTTTGTTAAGATTTAAATAAAACCGTTAGGACTTATTTTTGTCTTTTTAAAAAAATACTCGTCCTTAAAATTCCCTAGAATAGGTTTATAGAACCTTCGATATTAGAATGTTTTATGAGTGGGCTTCTGCGAAGGCCATTTACACTTTCCATTACATTTACGATTACCATTAATCAGCGTATATGCTGATTAATGGTAAGCGTGTGACAGAAAAGTTGAAAGGGAACCGTTTGTCTTGGTATGGCCATGTGAAAAGGAGGGATGAAAAGCATGTAACAAAAAGAGTCATGAGTATAAATGTGGATGGATGGAGAGGGAGGGGGAGACCAAAGAAAATATGGATGGATTGTGTGAGAAGTGATATGGAAGACAGAGGAGTTAGCGAGAGACGAGTGACAGGACAGAATGGAAAAAAATAACATATTGCGCTGACCCCAAATAAAACGGGACAAGGGCAGGAAGATGATGATGATGGTAAGCGTGTATCACCTTTGAGCCTATGGCACGTCACATGCCTCGTGCTCTTCATGAAAGCTGTCAGACCACTACAACTGGGGCCAAAGCTCTTCACTGCCGTTTGTAAAGAATAAGCTCACAATTCACCAAAAATCTCTTGCATATTAAAGATACCAAAAAATTGGGATCCAAATCTTTGAATTCCTTTAAAAAGCAACTGTTAATGTCAACTCAAATGACAGCTGTCATATAGTATTCATAATTTTTGAGGTTAGGTTTCCACTTTCCACTATTTATTTTTTCTGAATAAAATATAATTTTTAAGCAAATAGTCGCAATGTTGCGGCAAATAGCTTGTACCTTAGTCCAAACTCGGGGCATCAAACATAAAATTAATGTGAAATGGGTACGACCGGAATATATGCCAGCTTACAAACCTGAAAAATCTGGAGATTTGGAAAAATTACCTCCCATTCCTGAAACCGCTATTGGCAGGGATTATGCACTATCCGAAGAAATCAAGGAGTAAGTATAATATTACTGAAAGAATAAAAAAAATGTCTGGCACTATAAACATAATTATTCTGTCTAAACTACCTAATAAGTCAATGTAAAAATATTTAATTTCAATTACAAATGCGTATTTCACTTAGAATTATTATTATATTGTCACCGTTAAGCTTTTTCTTTTTTATTAATTATTTAATTACATATAAAATCTTATTCTTTAAGTTAATTATAAGACTGCACTAAGTATGCTTGATGTGTTACATTTCCAGTGCACCAGAATCAGTAAAGAAGATATTCTCAGTAGGCCATCTCGGCCGTAAGGAGTACAACCTTCTTGTCAAGGAGGAACTGATGAACAGAGTTCGGAGACATGAGTATGATTTCTCTACTGCTGAGACTAAGAGTAAGGCAATCAAAAACTGTTTAAAACTATTTATTATATCATAAAATTATTTTACATTTTATGTAAGTTCAATCATACAAGAGCAGGCTTGATGCTGAATGGCAATCCCTACCTGTAAACTGCAACAAACATGAAGAGTATTGTTATAGTAATGAATGAGGCTCAAGTAAAATGATAACAAAACAGACTCAAATCAACAAACCTGTAGATGAAACACAATTATACATTCTCACAATTATAGTTTGCATTATGAATTTTTGAATCAAACAAAAGTAGTAAAAATGTGATTTAAATAAAGTAATTTAATATTATTTTATAAGCTAGTAATAGCCCTCTTTGCAACGCCTGAAAAAGGCTGTTAAGCTATATGTGTTATTTTAACTTAAGATCCTTGTACCCACCTTAACATGCAAATAAAGAATTTGAATTTGAATTTGAAAGTAATATTTTAGATACCACACATTTAAAATTAAAAATGATTTAATATCTGTATTCTGTATTGTAACAAATTTTTCTTAATTTTCAGTTGCGCTCATGACAGGACAAATTCGTTATCTTCAAGACAATATGGATAAATTCCCTAGAAATTCCAAAATGAAGGTAAACAGTTTGAAAATCGAACAATATTTTTTTTTTATTTAAAAGTTCCGTACAATGCCTAATTTACTAAAAATGTATGAAAATATAGTAGAAGAGCATAAATTATATTATGTATATTGAAATATTGATTTTCTTTTTTAGCAATTAGTACAGGAGCGCATAGACAAGAGGAAAAAGTTGTTGAAGTTTTTGAGACAGTATGACTACAAAAAGTTTGAATGGCTTCTGGAAAAACTTAATATTGAATATAAAGCACATCCAGAGTGAGTATTATTATAATGTTTTATTTTACTCAATTTGCTCCCTAATTTGAATTTAAAACCATTGGAAAGAATGTTTCACAGCACACATCATCAGCCTATAAGTGCCCACTGCTGTGCAAAGGCCTCTTCTGACATGGAAAAGGTTTGAGCATTAATCACCACCCTTGCTCAATGCGCATTGGCGATTTCAAACTTATATGTAGTAATTGTAAGTCCAGGTTTCCTCATGATGTTTTCCTTCACCATATGTCAGTGGTCTAAATAGTAGTCTAAATAATCATAGAAAGTACATACAATAACTCGGAAAAAGTCACATTGGTACTTGCCAGGTTTCGAACCCGCACCCTCATGCATGAGAAGCAGGCACCTTAACCTCCGGGCCACCAGAATATTTAACATATAACTTTTTTTCTATAGTTCCATAACTTATGCACTTTAGTTTTTTCTGAATGCTATGTAAGGCTTTCAAGCTTATTTTGTTGAAAAAAGGACTAGTTATTAAATCCAGTTATCCAACATAAGGTTACATTACTTTAATACAACACTAGAAAGACATTACCTCTTAGAAATCTGTCTACAATGATAACATTGTGAATTTAAATTTTAGATCATACCACAAGTTATCGCGTAAGGAATCACTTCGCAAACTAACCGAAATGCACTGTGAAGACATCCGTAACAATAAACTAGCTGACTACCGCAACCTGCTTGAGAGTCAACAAGGACCGTACTTGAAAGAAAAACTAGAAAATCTCAAGTTCATTCGGAGTGAACAAATGGAACTGAAACTTCCAATCACAGTCACTGAACAGGATATTAAGAAAGTAGAACAACAGTTAGAAGAATGGACGAAGAAAGATGAGATCAAACAGCAAGCTAAGAAAAAGAAGAGAAATATTATTCTAGAAGTTGATTAATTATATTTGTAATGTAATGTAATGTGTTATATACTATGTTGTAGAGTATTTTATGCTGTTTTTCTTATCATTATGTCAGTCACAAGCAGACTCATAGGCAGGTGTAGGTAACCCTGCCGAAACGTCAATCAAAACACATATAAAAGGTACGTGCGCATTAAACACCGTTCCGAAATGGTGGTTTGCGTGGTCTATATAATTGAGTACTCTTTTTTTGAGAGAGAGAAGGCAACCTCCCTCTCACTTCAGAATCACGACTTCGCAAAAGGTAGCGACGGCACTCCACCCTGACTCGCTCCCGACCATAGTAGCCAACAGCCGGAAGCGAGAGATTTCCCGCAGCACCTACGGCCGCGACCAGGTCACGGCGCTGCTCGGCCCTAGCTGGGCTCTCCGCCAACGTATACAGTGCCGTATCGTCGCGACAATCACCACTGATGGCACTGAGACGTCGGCTCCCGGCCTATGTGGCACAGGTACTTCCCGAAACACCCATGTCCGGTAAGCTCCTGCATCAGCCGGAAGCTGAGGGCGCCGTGGCTCCTATTGAGCCACTCCTCTTACCGCCGCTATAGCGGTGTGTCCCGCTGTGGGTTGCTAAACGCGTCTCCCACCCCGCCACTAAGGCCTGACGGAGTTCCGCCCTGCGTGCCTCAACCTGCCGAGGCACCAGGCGCTCGCCCCGCTCAAATATTTGAGTACTCTGAATATCCCGATACTAATATCTGACGCTGACTGTACTTTACATGGATGAAAAAATATATAAGAAGTATAAATAACAGAAGAAAGACTAATTCAGATCATACATAATACCTAAATACATCCGCCTATACCTAAGTGCCTACTGCTGAGCAAAGGCCTCTTCTCACATGGAGAAGGATTGAGCTTCTTCACTACGCTCGCTCAAGGCGGATTGGCGATTCCAAACGATGTTTTCCTTCACCGTAAGTACGTATGTCAGTGGTGTCTGAATAATCATAGAAAGTACATATGACTGGGATAAAGTCACATTGATATTTGCCAGGTTTCGAACCGGCACCATGTACTTATGAGAAGTCAAGACAAATATACGCATATTGCGTCGAAATAAAACAATAACATGTAATAAGTTTAAAACCATTTTATTAATAAGTAATTAAGTACAAATTACATACAAAACTTACATTAAAAATATTCATATAAAAATATAAAGCGTAATTTGAACATCAGTCGAATTTGGACGGAGTATATTTTACATAAAACATTATTTTCGAGTATATAGAGCGATTTCATATTAAAATTATGGAATGAATATACTTATAACTAAAGGAAGACTTATTACTATAATTTACATAGAATATGGCGTTAGGCTAAGAATTATTAGTGTATAATGCAGGCAAAAATAAACATTTTATATTTTACAAGCAATGATATTATAAGTAAAAAGTTGTAGATAGATGGCTAACTAGCTACACCTTTTTCATATATTTGTCTCTTTTTCACTCGCGATTATTGAATCCTGCCATCTCCTTTGACGTCTAAACATACGAATTGTTCATGTGTGTCGTTTTTGAAAATAGAATTTTGTTTAGGTAACCTATCATTTTGCTTATAATATCATTGTTTGCAAGTATATATTCGGCACATTGGCAAGACAGGCAAAGTTGGTTGGTTTCCTCAGTCTAAACCAAATCGTATCAACTTCTCAATAACATTTTTTTTAAACGTTGCCCCACAATAGGATTTTCTCCTGTGTCGTGGGTGCGTTTACAAACACACATCACACCCAGACCCGGAACAACAATTTGTGGATCACACAAAGAGTTGTTCCGTGCGGGAATCGAACCCGCGACACGTTGCGCGGCAGCCCAACCACCGCGCCAACCGTGCAGTTTTATAATTTAGTATTATGATTTTTTGTTAATATACAATTACACTCTCACTGTTGGATCAAAACTAACCAGGATTACAATAAGAAATGAACATAATAAACATATGTGTTTATATAGTTTCTTTTTTCCATGAAATGTTTGTCAAAAAAAGATATTTTTTCTAAGCTTTTGCCTGCATTATAAACAATCGCATTGAAGAGAAATTGTAAATAGTCATGAAGTTATTCAATTACAACATTGTCTAAACTTAAAATTGATGTAAATAGTTTTTAAACAGTTGGCACATTAACTTTTATTGTTACAATAATCGACCTTATTGTTTCCTCATCAATCTCTGAAAAGCTGAGCTAGTATGTAAAGAATATATCAATTTACAACAGAGTTAAAAATGTCATGGTTAAAAACCGGCGTCGCCGAAGGAATTACAACAAGTTTTTGTCGACTTTTTGTGGATTATTAGGAATTTAAGGATCGTGATTGGGGGTGGGAGGAGATTGGGCCTACGGTACACGCACTCACACGGCGAAAAGTTTCACTGTACATGAAACATCCATTTATGTAAAGTTTTATAGAAAAATTGATGTTACAATGTTTAATATTTGTGTGGGAGAGCCATGCTTCGGCACGAATGGGTCGGCTCGACCGGAGTGATACAACGGCCTCACAGAAAACCGGCGTGAAACAACCACAGCGTTGTGTTTTGCCGTGTGAGTGAGGTTACCAGAGGCCCAATCCTTCCCCACCCCCAACCCCTTAATCTCCAAATCCCTAATCCCTAATATGTCGGCAACGCACTCGTAACTTCTTCGTTGCGGGTGTCCATGGGCGGCGCTGATTGCTTACCATCAGGTAATCCGTCTGCTCGTTTGCCGATCTATTACATAAAAATAATATTTTATAAGGGCGCCTATTGTATATTTGTATGGCATCAGGAACAAACCCGGACTTAGCCATAAAATGGATAGTTTTGAAAGAACTTTATATTGAAAGATTTACCTTGGCTGCTGAACTGGGCATTCAACAAAGCCACCAGTTCTGGCAAACTACAAATTTAAGACTTCTGACAAGTATTTTGATGAGGAAACACGGTCGATTAGAACATCAGGAGTGGTCCCTCCTGCAGTCAGAGTGACGTGGTATGTGGGGCGCGCGCGTATGCGGTGGGTATGAACCCGGAGCGGCGCGACTTGGGCGCGTGTGCCCAGAGCCAGCCCTCCACCGTCTGCTGCGTCAGGTCGGCGTACACCCACTCGCCGCGCTTCACCGACAGGTCGTCCGGGGCCTGCGCCTACACATACAATACTTTATTCAATACTGGCTACTATCGCGCAGTTTCACGGCTCCATTTGATTGTAGCGTGATGTTTTATTTATTTAAAAATAAACATACCAACAATACAATCACACATTGTTATACAAAAAACTTAAAATAATCAAATAATTGAATGCAATTTTATAGCCTATAGCACTCAGGAACATTGTAGATATCTATCAGTGAAAGAATTTTGGCAATCCGACCAGCAGTTCCAAGGTTTACCCCACATACAAACTTACAACCAGGTTTTTTGCGGTAACATAGTATTTTTCAATTAAGTATTACCATAGTTGATCAGGATTGGTCCTAAGCAATGACATTGGAATTGAAACCGAGTGATTTTTAATCAGTAAAAATCGTACACCAAGGGCCTTACCAATGAGTCATTCCACTTCAATGACTAATTGATAAGACTGAAGTCCTTGAAAAACAATTTGTTTTTTTTTGCCCCATGCTAGGATTATCTCTTGTGTCGTGGGTGCGTTTACAAACATACAATTTCACATACACAAGACACCCAGACCCGAAACGACAATTTGTGGATCACACAAAGAGTTGTTCCGTGCGGGAATCGCCCAGCCACTGCACCAACCGAGCAGTCAAGTGAAATGACATACCGCGGCCGGAATCGTCGTAGTAGTTAAAACAGGGCGATTTTTAATCAATATAAATCTGCACCTCTCCCCGTTTTTGTCAGAGGAAAATCATTAAATGTCTTCTCTCGCTCAGGGAGAGGAGGATAGTTTCCTCACAAGCTCCACCCCTCTGATCCTCCCAATGGGCTCTGGGCTTTAGCATCACTTAGGATCCTTTGGCCACTTTCTCAAGAGAAAGATACATTTATAAATGTTTATTACTACTTACCTTATAATCGTAAAGCATGACTAGTTCGGTGCCGTGGTACCGCCCGTCGTTGTCCTGCGGCGGCGCGCTGCTGTTCAGTTTGCTGTTGTTCAGTACCGACGTGTTGCTGTTGGTCGTCGCCGGGGACAGAACTGGTTGCGTCGTGTCTTGTGGACTCGCTGGAATCATTTGGAAATATATCCTAACTTGATTTTGAAACGACCAGATTGTTGACGCGACTAATGTCAATAATATATAGATACTTTTCTATGTATCACAAAATATTAAATTATATTAAAGGCGTCATAAAATTATAGCTTGAACCAGCAATTCTAGTCCCTTTACCCGTGGAGCGCAGATCGACGCGAGACACAATGTGTTTTTAATCAACTTCAAAAAAGGAGGAGGTTCTCAATTAGGTAGTTTCCTAGGTCAAAAATAAATTAATTCGACGTTTCAATACAATAATGTATTGAAAAACAACTATACTCTCATTCATCGATCGATCGATAGATACACTGAATTTTAGATATTTTTTATCTAATTTTTAAGAAATAAGTAAGTTATTTGACTTAAAAATACTATGACGTCATAGCTCAGTATTTCAAACAAATTTCATAGAAATGTATACTTAGTTTTTGACATTTGGATAAAAGTATTGAATTTGATTAGTAGGAAACTATCGTATTCGATGCGTAGGTATTTTTTTTTGTTGAAAACAGCATCGGGTCTTATATGTATAGCGACAGACGAGAGGTAAAAATAGGATAAAATTGAAAATTAAATATCTATAATGAAATTTGTAATTACCTAATATTTCGTTGTTTTAAATAGTCGAAATAATTTAACTTTTATTGAGAAAACTTTACCTTGTACTACAGCTGGGTAAACAAAGCCGGAGGGTATAAATCCCTCCTGTCCGTCACTCCTCACTATCCAGTACCAATCTGGGTCTTCTCTGTTTAGCACTGAAAAGTTATTGAAAAAGGAAAAATGTTAGGTAAGCTGATTTACAAAATT